TCTTATGCATTAGTGTACCTTAGAAAACCATGTTGGTTCAACCTCTACACAATCCTTTGCTTATATTTGTGAGTGTACCCTCTCTTAAAATGGTATGAGAAGTCACTTGGTTGTCCTTTCTTTCAGTTTCTAGATTCTCAGAATGAAAATTCTATGAAGATTTCAAACTGTCATTGGCCATATTTCGGTTTCACTCTTGTTATTTGTTACATTGACTTGTGTGCTGTATTCCTGCATATAACATGTGTATAAAGATTTTATGGTCTATATACAGGCTGCCTCTTTCAGTTAAAATGTTGTCTTGGGTGAGAGGACAGTAGAAGTTTAAAATAATTTAATAATGGCCAGAAATGTGGGTATTATTGGGTCATGTTCATATCACTGCTGGTTTCAGTATGGGAGAATAATTCCAAACTTTCTGCACTTCAGAATTGATAGGGTTTTTCCTTCATGGGCATACCTAAAATGCTGCAAAGTGACAGGGTTTCGCTTGCATTCAAGTGAACAGGTAAAGGCATAGTAGAGTATAGTGGTTTAAATGCTAGATTCACACTTATTCGAATCAGGTACAAGTCTCCCTTCAGCCATGGAAGCTCACAAGATGACTTGGGACCAATCAGTCTCTCTCAGTCCAACCTATTTCACAGGACAGATGTGAGAGGGGGGAAATGGAAGAAGGAAGCACGATGTATACTGCTTGGAGCTCCTGAAGAAAGGGTGGGATATAAGTCAAACAAACTAACAGTAAAATCTGATGATTGTATGAATTGTGCATTCATGAGAATAAGGGAGGGGTTAAAATGCAAGGCCCTTTCATCTGTTTTTCATACATTCTAAGAAAAGCATAAAGAAGGCTATTGTAAGAGAGATGCCTAATAAACCCCTGCAATGCCAGATTCTCAACTTACGACCCCCATTCAATCAACTGACCCTGTGTGTTGCCAGATGAGAGAACATAAACTGCAAAACAGGGAGAAATAATATGAAGGCAGACCATTAAACTTAAGTTAGAAATTTCATTGCTTCTAATATTGATATATTGTATAACCACATATGAGGGTTTATTCTAGGATTACCCAACTGTACTTTCAAAAATATGCTGATTGATTATATTTTAAATAAAGCAGGATACTTCCACATTTTCTGTTAGGTAGCTACAATATCCATACTGCAATATAGATTTAGCATATGTATTAAAATCTCCTTTTGTAGTTTTTAGGAATTTTTTTGGAGATGCTCTGTCAGGGCAGTAGAAAGAAGCATTGGAATTAAATTACAATGAGTATGAAGAAGAGAATTCCTCTTCTTGTTGACAGAGGGCAATCAACAGTTTAGTAGCTCTGTCTTATGTGCAGTAAAGATTCTTATCTAGTCAAGTTGTGGCTAAGAGGCTTAAGCTGAGTATAAACTTAGAGGCTAGTCAAGCCATGCCAAGTCAAATATCTGAGAAATTTTGCTAAGTCAATGCCCCAAAACCTGACACTAATAGCATCCTTATATTCATTGTATTTCAAGGTGGCAGGGTGGCTGACTGGCTCCATACAAAATAGCATGGTATTCTTTTAATAATTTAGCTTGTAATTTCCCTAATAATGTTTTAGGATTCTTATTGTTCCTTCTGAACCATTGGTGGACTATTTAAGTTAAATACTATTCTTAAACATATGGGTTTCTTTCATCCATATGGAGACCCACCATAGCTGTGTATTAACCAAAGAGGGAATTAGGAGTGCTGTTTTTCAAGACTTACATTATATTGTATATCTCTGGAAATTTGTGTTCCAAAATTTTGGCCTAGCTCTTCACCTAATTATGTTAATTAACCATTTGATACTGATTGAAATTAATTGTGTTTATATCAAGAGGGGCCTTAATTTTTCTAGCTTTAAAAAATGTTTCCAGTTTTAGAAAGGAATAAATGGTTAAAATATTTCAAAATTCAACTGTAATTCTTTGAAGTATTTTACTGACTGTATAGTAATAATTTTGTTCCAGTTTTTCATCATATACACATGCAAAACAGCTTCCAAAAAAAAATCTAAATTAAACATTAAAATTTATAGTACTATAAATATTTAAAATGATAAATTACATGATAAAGCAAGTACAAAATACATACGGGGAGAAAGAACTTCACCTCCTCAAAAATGTGAAGGAAGCCAGATGGTTGATATTATTTAATAACATAAATGGCAGCAAAGTTAACAGAACATATTTACAACCTAGGTAACTGAAGGTCTTGTGGCAGTAAGGACTACATATGGCTTCAGTAAGAGCTGACAATCTTAATGTGTGAGTCCAGTTTATTATTTTTTTTAATGGCCAAATCTTTGGGCTACAGCAGCAAAATAATAATAATAATAATAATAATAATAATAATAATGCATCCCAGCTGTATCCACTTTTTTGAATATTCAAAAAAGAACATAAATGGCATTCTGTACAAACTACCTTAAACAGACCTTTAGAATGTCTAAATGGACTGTTAAAACTGCGCAGTGTCCTTCACTGTTCATAGAAGTATGACTGATCTTCTGATCTTCACCTCTTTAAAGGAACTGTATTTCTTGTCTGGCTGCCTTCTGCAGCCACTGCTTGAGTGTCGGAAAAGACCCAACTGCATGAAAAATAGTGGATAGGTGTTCTATTACAGTGTCAGGATCAAAAAAGTCTACTCTTGTATTGGCCAGACTGCACTTAGAATGTTGTATCCAGTTCCTGGTACCACATTTTAGGAACGATATTGACAAATTTAAGCATGACATATATTTAAGCATGACCACATTTTAGCAAAGAAATTGACAAATTAAGCACGGCAGATTTC